GTTAAAATTATAATTTTTGAAATATTTTTTTTTCTTAAAAAAACCTTACTGACCTCAAACATTCAGACAGTATATTATTTTACATTTTAATGTGATGTACATAAATGTCCTGAAGTTAAATTCATTCAAATATTAAAAAAAGAAAATGTGCATTAGCAATTCCTTAAATGCGACCTAATCCATTTATGTGATTCAAGCTATTTTAATTACTGCCGGTGTGAACCGCCCATTATCGTCCAATGCTGATCATCTTAGGGTGTGTTTACATTTGTTGTTTGGATCTCTTGATTCTTTTAGTATGGACCAAAAAAGAAAAATTATATATTTAGTCCTGGTTCACTTAGGGTTCACACTGTCATTTTTATCACAAACCTAAAGATACTACACAAAAGCATAAGAATTAGATCACAACCTAATTGGACAGCTTTTGTGACATTTATTCGGGTTCGGGATGGCAGCCTTCACTCTTATTCAAATGAACAACACTAATAGAGCAATCACACCAGAGTCTGTTTTATTCAAACCATGCCTGCCAAGTGTAAACGCAACCTTAAACTGCCCAAATATCTGCCAATTTTTCAGCCTGGCAGCTAAAACTAATTTTATGTATGTCAGACAATAACAAACATTTTCCTCTCCGTATGCTTCCTTTAGAGATTCATTAATGCAAGGAACTAAAAGTGCAACAGATCAATGGATTATGATAAAAGTGTCGTATTTAATGATTTATCACAATAAAATCCTGGTGTGGACTCTAGCTTGTCTCTGGGGCGTCCTGTTCCAGTAGCATGGTCCCACAGTCTCTCTGCTTTTCTTGCCCATGTACAATGCTGCCCGCTGACGATAATCGATACATGAGCATGCCTGTTTGAAACCAAACCCTGTGAAGAAGAGCCCATGCAGTCAGCTCCTGCAGACAACAGAGGCGGTCATGGGAAATGATTCACATGTTTTGCTGAGAGAAAAATTGATCTCTGCAGCAAACATGAATCCTTATATATTCTTACAGTAAATTATCAGACCCATTTTATGTAAGGCGATGGAAATGTGTGATAAGGCAGTGTTTTATTTGTCAGAAGTGTGAGATGAGGCAATATATGAATCCTTCTGTAAAGTGTTTTGCTGGCTTTGATCTGGTATCGAGTCATGGATGGTGTTTTGTGTCTGGTTTTATTGGATGATGAATATGAGCAGGGTTGGGACACAAATGGACAAAAGTCTTTTAGATGTGAGAAAGCAAGTCAAGTTAGAGTTACACTTGCAGATTAATTCACTTCTCCAGGGACAGAGAAATAGAGTGAGATGAGTAAGAAAGAACAGAAGAGACAAAGAGATGAGAAATTAGGATGGCTGGCTGGCTGGCTGTCTCTCTATCTATCTATTAGGGCTGTGTATCACCAGCAAAGTCATGATATGGTACATATCACGATACAGAGGCCACAATACATATCACAATATGGAACTGCACTGAATTTCACCTCAGAAGAATTGAGCAAAACAGCTGTTTATTAAACACTGCATACTATAGTGCCATTTCTAACTATTGGCAGAGCAGGCAGTTGACCTCTGCATTATGAAGGGCATCCATAACTGTACCACAGTACAATATAGGTAATGACATATGTTTCATGTTTACATTGGGCACTCCCCACCAGGTACAATATTCAGATTTTTTTGCATCTTGTTTTTAAGCCCATAAATAATAATGTACTCGTTCTAAAAAAATTATATTGTAATAATAATATAATATACTCATTCTAATATATTTTTAAAAATCATATTTACATTGCTGGTAGGTTATCATTGCACAAATTAACACACTCTACGTTTAAAAAATACAAATAAAAATGAGAAGAGTTCTAAACTAATGCGCTGTCTTCTGTATCTAACGCACACAACACGCTCAGTCACTCACACAGATCACGTTGTGGCCGCACTCGGATATTAGGAACAAACTTTTTAGCGCTGCCCCTCAATTTTATCAACTAAATAGTTTAATCGCTCAAGAGCTACATTATCTTTCTCAACAAGGAGCTGGTAACATCGTTGTTTCTAAAGGAATTAAAGCCACAGCTTCACTGTTAATAGAGAAACGCGGCAAAACGGTGGTAATTCATACATACACAGCCTCTCTCTCTTTCTCTCATAAATGAACACTTGATGAATTACACTTTTCTGACAATAGAATATTGAAGTGGAGATCGCTAAACTGCAAGCTAAAACTAAAACCGGTGTTTTCAGAAAGTAAACGCGTTAATCCACAGTGGAGAGAGAGCGCGCGTGCACATGGTTGCCAGGTTGACAACGATAAGTAGCACATTTAGCAGATATTTCCGTATTACGTCTCTTTATATCAGGAAACCCAGTTGTGTTCCTCTGCGGCCAGATTAAACCTTGTTATAGCCTATGTATTATGCTCTATTCATTCTTTTTTAGAAACCTCGCACTTTTCTGCTCAATTTTAAACATTGTTCTTGTATTCAGATTAAGCGCAGTCCGCTGCTGCACATGTGCCACAATATCGATACAGGGACAGCTGTATCGATACTCGTATCGTCAAATCTCTGACGATACATCATCGCATCGATGTATCGAACAAAGCACTACTATCTATCTATCTATCTAGCAAGCATTCTATCTATCTATCCCGTCCGTCCATCATTTTAGCAAAACTACTAATAATAGACTTTGTAAAGCAAAATGCAAACTCTATTTTTTTTAAAAAGAGTTTATTTAAATTTCATTTTGCATTAATTATACTTCCTTGCATATAATTTGTAAGTGGTTTTCACTTAAAGCCTCTTTAGACACACAGTTATGTTTATGAAGCGTCAGAGAAGAAGTGTGATGTGTGGTGTTTAGTTAAATAAAGTCTGTCTTTTGTTTTTCGCCACCACAGGCTTTATCAGCAGCTATGTCAGTAATTGATATAACAGTCATCCACCTGTGTTATGCGCATTATTACTGGCTTCCTCTTCCCTCTGCCATTTCAGAATTGTTTATCCCGATTTAATGCATCCAAATTAGTGGTTCTCATCCGCAAGGCGGTTGTATTGGGTCCGCTTCCGCCCTCCATTAGACGGTGTGCTATTAAAGACATCAGTAATCACTAGATTTAACCAAACAGAGACCACAGAAATGCTCTTTATCTGTTGTGTGTGGTTTTAAAGAGCGACCTTTCCTCAGCGAAAAGGGTACTTGTTCACTGAGCAAATGGCCTCAGCAAACACTCTGACACACTTTCGCTGCAACTTTATTTATTTACAAATGTCACCGTCACCGGGGCTTAATGTGTTGCATCAGGCATTGAGCTCTTTGGAAAAGCGCTCCTCATCAATCCAGAGGATTTAGATGGGGACAGAAGAGAGGAGGAGGAGGGAAGATGAATCTGGCATCACTGAATCACTCCATATGAACACTTTTTTTGTTTCATTTTGTATTTTATGTACATATAATATTAGGCTATATAGGCAAAAGCATTTCTATTAAATACATTTTATTTAAAAGGCCTCTTCTATGATTGACGAAACACTTTGAATGTGAAATGAGCAATTGACATTCACAGCTCTGTGTCGCTGTAGTTGTTTGCACATTTTATGCAGTGCACAGTATGTGAGGTAGAACAGATCCCTCTCACCACTTAAGGATTACAGTCAGTCTGTGGGAAAATATTTATGATACATGACTCCATTAATCTTACACCAACACGGCACTGTCACTATAAATCAAACACACATCCCACTCCGCTTCATACACAATAGCTAAGGATACTGTGGTCGTTCTTTTGTTCTCTACTTTTTTTTTTTGACAAATCCAGTTAAAACCTTGACTTCCAAGAGGGTGAAAGACAAACAAGGCTATTAAACCACTTAAGATCTGCATGCCAATAAATTGCATGTGTGCAAATATAAAAAAACACGCCGTGCTCAGCATTTCTTTATGCTGATATCCTGAAGTATTGATGAAGTTGTTGTGATTGTCTCTGTGTGTGTGTGTGTGTGTGAGTGAGTGTATATCAGTCAGTCAGGCTGCATTATTTTTTTCTAAAAAGAATAATGTAATGATTGATAATTCTAGTTTTATTTCAATATAATTTTAATTATTAAATTATTATAAAACACTATTTAATAACAGAATTACTTTGTCATGTATTATTCAAATGTATAATATACATATATGACATTTTAATAATTATGTTTTAAATTCTGATTTTGTTCAGTTTATTTCTGTAATGCCACTGTGACAGCTGGTAACACCAAAAACAGTACCACCATATTTATATGGGAATCAAATATATCTAAATCAGTGTTTTGATAATTATGTCTTTTAATTCTGTTCATGAAATGTAGTATTGAAATGTAGAAAATGGTTTGCAACACTTTATCAAATGAGCCGTGTATATGTTTTCCTCAATCAGAGGTGATTAAAAATTAATAGCTGTAGATGTTAAGACATTATTTACCCTGGAATGTAGATCATAACAGAAAACACAGTTTGCAACCTGCTGTGAGATAAAGAGAAAGACTAGTACGAGAAATTAAATAGCCTTTTAAGATGTTTTGTTGACCCATTCGCTTTGGCATACACACGCATACACATATATACTCCAGAAATGAAAATGAAATGAAATGAAAACCATCAATACTGCAATCGAGGGCAAACTTTGTTTTGCCGGTAATGCTGTGTAAGACATGAATGTGTTTTTATTGATATATCTGATTTACAAAACAGTCTTTCTCCCGTAATGGGTTCCCAGCACTGGGTTTCTCCGCTGGATGAAGGAGGGCATTGTGGGAAAGATTTAGACTGTGGGGCTAGACTCTCGTCCCTCCGGCTACAGACCTGATTGTCTGCAACTGCTCTGTGATTTACTTGCCAAATATGCAATCTCATCTAACCGGCTTGTTTTGCTCACAATATGTCACGAGGTTGAGTGAACTTTAACAAATCATTACTTTTTTTCTCTCCCCTGTGTGCTCTTTCTCTTTCTTTCTCTCTAGTTACATTGCTGGACACTATGTCTGCTCTGGGAGACCTTGGCTGGGAGGCCTATCCAGCTGAAGGGGTGAGTAACGCGACCAAATCAAGACACAAACACACAAGCCCCCCAAATGTCTTTAATCAATTCTAACTCTTGCACCCAGCACAAATTATGGTGCGTTTTGTCTGCGCCTGTTTTACACAAAATGATTTGAACCACGCAGGGACAAACTTTTTAAAATTAAAATGAATCTATGCTCCTGGGCTTCGACACACTTTTGAACCCCTCTAGCACGTTTTCTTGCAAACAATCATCTGTAATCACGCTGTCGTGTTTCAGATGTGCTGGAATTACATATGGTTAGACTCGACCTGCGCATGTATATTCATAAGAGTGGATACAGCATTCATCGGGCTCATGGGAATGAAAAAAGGCTGTAAGAACGTTCTCAAGTTCTTATAAATAGGAGCCACTGTTTTGTGTGTGTGTAAATTGTAGGATGTGGTGTCAAGGTCATGTGGAGTCTAGTGAGCTTAGACCTGTTTCCAGCCAAGAGGCGTTCATGTTCGGCTTAACACCAACTTCCCCGGTCGCTTACTTCCAATTTATTTGAGGAAGACGTCAAGATTAAGAGTCTCTAAAGCAGGAACACAATCCCCTGAGCCAGAGAGCAAAAGAAGGAGCCTTTATTTTGAGTAGAGAAGGCCTGTTCTGTCTTTTTTGAGGCGCCCAAAGTGGTCTAAAAATAATTGAGTTTGCAAAAACCATGGTGAGCTTAAAAGAAAATCAATCTTTGGGATTTCACAGCCGCCTTTTAAATGATTTAATAGAGCCGTCAGAAGCTAGATCAGATTGTCTGTGCCCCACACGCGTGTCTACGAGATGTGTCGTGTAGCAGCTAAATCTGGAGATGAGCGGAATTTACAAATGATTTTTTGCTGAAAATAGTACCACAGACATGAAGTCTGTACCCCTTCTCAAAACGAGAAACATTAGACTTGCATAACAGAGTATTGCATTGCTTAACAGGCTGATACATTGTCAATAACTCAAGCCCGCTGCCTCACCCTAGGAGAGCATGTGAATATTGAATGACATTTAACCCTTGTGCGTCAATTAAAAAAAAGTTACACATAGGTCCATAGTGGACAAAAATGTCCATGTCAAAAAACTGTCATAAAAATTTGAAGCTAGGGAGCACAGAGTTAAGTTTGGTCTCATTTTAAAGAAGACCCATGGCAGATTATTGTTGAAGTAAAAAACAGGTTAAAAAGTGAAACCAAAAAAAAAGTTATAGATGTTTAGGTTTATGAAAATGATTTATGAACGATGTTTTATATAAAATATATATTTTATGAAACATGTTGAACTTTATACCTGCTAGAAAATCAAAGCCATAAATCTAAACAAGTTGTATTCCAAATTTGAGGTTGATATCTCAAAAAATGAGCTTTCAGTAAGATTTTGTTTGGGCGCAGTACCAAATTTTCCCCATTAGATGCCAGCAAAACTCTGCTGGTGCACACAGTGGTTGGATTTGTGATTTGCAGTAGAGTTTTTCTCTCTCAAATATTACAAGAACACACATGCACACACACATTTTTTTTTTTATGACACACATACAAACCAGACTCTGACATCCATACCAACACACCCACACAATTATAGCTGCATTATTTATCCAATTGGCTCTATAATATGCAGAAGCAGAAAACAGAAATAGAGTATTTTCTTTATAGGTCAAACCTGGAAAAATGGCACCATCTGGTAAATAATAGTAAAAAATAAAATTTTAAAGCCTTGCCAATAGAATGAAAGTCTATCAACAAAAATGGCATCATTTTACAGTTAAATGGCACTGCGTTTAAAAATAGCAGTTTTAATGGGTTTCAATGGGGACATTTTTGTCCTTAAGATCCTGAGAGGAAAATTTGTTTGTACCTAGTGCAAAACAGATTTATTAAAGGAAATGAAAGTGAAATAGTAAAATTCTAATAAAAATACACACCTGTGCCAAAATGTATACAGTTGGCAATAACACAGGCAAAATGATCAAAAAATCTAAACTTAAAAGGACAAAAATGTCCAAAAGGTCACACAAGGGTTAAAAGTAAAGTTGTGGAGACAATGCAAACGCTATAGAGCAAGATCCTCAAAAACAGATACATCCTATAAGCCAAACTTAGGAGTTATGAGATTTGTCATGTTTAATAGTCACAGTATTCTTTGCAGGTCTCTTACATTTATATAGAGGAGATTAGCTTTTGTAAATGGCTTGGTGTGTTTGGATTGTTGTAGTGGGATTGAGCGCTGCTGTAGTGTGAGAGAACCCATCACCAGCTTCTCAGCAGATGACTGTAGCGTCTACAGAAGGCTGTTTCTACGACTGCATTTCAATTTACATACTATCTGTCCTGCGTAGTACGCAGCATAGGAATTTGTGTTTCAGGGATGCATATCGGGATCATATCACTTAGTGACCAATATTAGTGTTTTCATTAATTGTGAATGCTTGTTACTGCCTTTTTTACATTGTAGATTACTATTACTTCCATCTAACACTATACGCTCTAAGAAATGCTGGGTTAAAAACAACCCAACTCTGGTTATTTGGCAACCCAGCGCTGGGTAAATATTGGACAGAACTTTTTAAAAAAGGTTATTTTAACCCAGCTGGTTGGGTTAAACGCTTTTGCCCACCAAGCTGGTCATCTATTGTTTAAAAATGATTATATTGCTGGCTTAAAATGGGCAGGAAATTAAAAATCACACACAAAAATACTATAGGCAACAGCAATAATCAAAAGATGAACATTTATTATTAAGCAAAAACACCCATGGACAAAATACAAGACAAATTGAATTTATTTGGGTGAATACAGCATAGTTTACAATATTACATACATTTAAATTCGTTTAACAAGCATTTTAGAAATAAAAAGGCACATTTAAAAGTATCATTTTAGTTTAAGTGTATTCAACCGTTCTCTGTAATCTGTTTTTACCGAAATAGTGCTAATTCTCGTGCTGGTGTGTCACAGAAATCTGAGCCGGTGAAGCGAACTTTAGGCCGTGGCCTCACGTTTCACTCGTAGCTGAGAGATGGTGTGACTGACTCCAAAACCTGCTCAAAAACAAACAGTACTGAAATTAGAGAACATATTTTAACATCAAATTAAATTACACTCAGTATTAAAACGAATAAAATCCATTTATGTTATGAAAGGCAAAGGCGTTTCCACAGCGAATTCCAGAGGCATCTCGTCCTTATGTTGATAATGTATTTTTTTTACTTTACATTACAGGGTTATGATGGCATCTAAAGCATAAAATTACTGATTTCAATATTTTTATTATTATTTTTTTTTTTTATAGAATGCTAATTTTTTGTAGGCCAATCCGGTTGACAAGCCATTGCAAATTTGCCATTAGATTTGGGATTATTACCGACATTAAGCTCTGTGATTAACACAAGTTCATGATTTTTGCATATTTTGTTTATCAGTATAATCAAAAATGAAAACAACTTTAATTTTGAAGCCTAATTACAATCACCAGAAGTAAAAAGCTAAAGTTAGGCTATAAATGAAATACCCTACATCACCACTACTTTTCCCAACAACTCATTCTTTGTTTACTGTCTACAAGTTGAAATGTTTTGGTTAGGAAAGTTTGCAAGAGTGTGAGTATAAACAGACTATGAAAGAGTACTAGTGCCTAAAAGAGTTTTCCTGTTTGGCGTGATGATGTTTAACATCCTCGACCTCTATTAGTCCCATTTAGCCACTTGTTATCAAACATCTTTTTTTAAGTGCTTAAAAAGAATCACTTGTCCAGTATAACTGATGTATTTAATGTAAAATAAACCACGAAAATACCTTGAACTTGTGGGGAGATGTTGTAGATGTCCCAACGCTGTCTTATTCAAACGTGTGTAGTAGCTTTTAAATAGATAGTATTCATTTCTACAACAAACCACTAATCAAATTTAGCCATAAATGATCAGTTTAACAATCTAAACTAAGAGACTTTAGTTACTGGATTGGGTGACTCCCACATACTGTGAGAGTCGCTTCCAATTGGCCTGTATCAATGATGTCTGTTAAACTCTTCAGAGAACATTCCTGCCTGTCCTCGTGCGGTGTTTACCTTAGATTCAGTGACAGTAGGAGTCTCTTTTGCTGTTTTGCTGGTATGGCAGTTATTTAATGGGAGTGAACTGTAAGGCTAAATCAGGTCTCACAGCTGCAGCCTGCATTTCATACTTAAGGATTATCGTGGCGACCCGTGACCCACTGAACCCGCCGACGGTGCGCCGTTGTGGAGCGGCTCACAGGAAAGCCGACATGTTCCCAAAGCGGCCACTTCACCTCCGCTGGATATTTACCTTACTGACTCAATCGACTGCCACTTGACCTTTGCAGGTCAAGACTAATGCAGCTTTCCCTGTCCCAGATGTGGAAGGTTTGCTTTGGATCGGCTATCAAATGGCCATAGTCATTTAGGGTATGTGTGTGTGTCTGTTACTAAAATAGAAGGGAGTAACTCACCTAGAGTGATAGAAAACAGGTAACCCTAATAACATGTCCTCCAAAAGAGGCCTTCTGCCCAAAAAACAGACATTCTTTTATGGATTTAAAGTCAATTGCACTTAAGTATCTTAAACTACCAGATGATTGTGGGCCTGCAATTAAGTTAAGCCAATGAAGGGCTAAGCAGACCCCCTGATCTGACATAGTTGCTTGGCTTCAAAGCGGTCAAACCTTGTGAAGGGTGACGGGGGAATGGAGTTAAGGTATTTCAGATGAGACTCTAGGGGAAGCGGACAGCTGGAGACGCTAATTAACAAGACGCCCACGTCACACTTATGACCACTATGTTGATTGAGAGTGGCTAAGCTTTACCTCCTGTCCAAATAACCTGTTTTCCACTTAACAATTGTGAGTGTGTGTGGAACTAGCTGCATGTAGGAGGATTTATGAACGCTTTTGCTAAAAGGTTTGCTAGTTTCGTTCACGAATATATCAACTGCACATGGCCAATTTCCTTTCAGATGGCTGTGCCCTATCGTGGCATACTAAAATGCGTAACTAAATTGTATATGCGCGTCTGGAGATCTGGAGTGTGTAACACAACCCTCTAGACTTTTGCATAACCACCCATCTGTGGTAAAATACTTCATGAATTCAGACAATGCGTTTCCAAAGAAACTTTCCGTAGCGGTTGGGTTCAGACCGAGTTTTGAAAATAAATAAACAGAAATGCATAAACCTGCCTTTATCCCTGTATAAATATTCCTTCAAAAGTCATAATTATTGCACTTGAAGGGAAAGAACGTACCCAAGACGTTCAGTGACTGTGTCGCTTTGATCTGTAATGTTGTCCGCCCATTCCCACCAGTCAGCATATGGCTCAGTTTAAAGCCAGACTGCACTAGCAATTGACCCTCGTGCCTCGATCACTTTTTTAAAGCTATAAGCTAATGGCAACGTGTCATAAACGCTCTCTTTGTTGCTATGACATCATGGCTAGAAAGTGATGTGCACTCCAGACTCTGCTGACGCATGGAATAAAATACTTAAAATCCTTGATTGCGCTGATGTGGAAAATGGCTCTTTTGGAGACATTCTGATGTACTCCGTCTCCTTGACCATTTGCTTAAATGTGCACCCATATTCAGCTGCCAGTCAGTTTAAGGGTTGTTAAAGGATTAGTTCACCCAAAAATGAAAATGCTATCATCATTTACTTACCCTTGTTTCGTTCCAAACCCGTTTGACTTTGCTTTTTCCTTGGAACACAAAAGGATATATTTCATGTACTGGTAGCTCTTTGCCATTCAATTATGAATATTGAGGACTAGAGCTGTAAAGCTTCATAAAGATAACAAAAGTACCATAATCATAAAAAGTTTAAAGGATTTGCATGCTGTTTTTTAAGTGTCACCCTTTTTGTATGATGAACAGACTGAAAGTCGATCTGTTAACTGTGGTATCTGAATCATTATGTCATTGGGTTTGATTCATGAAAAAAAATCATTCAGATTGATTATATCAACCTATTTGTTGAAAAGATTTGAATCAAAAGAAACATTTGTAGATGATCCTGACACAGATACTAGCTGTTTCCCATAGAAAAGCATTGCATGGCTTCAGGAAAAAAAATTGCACTAGTCAGTACTGATCACTTTTATGGCGTTTTTACACCCTTTTTTGGGGGTTTGAAAGCTCCAGTCTGCATTTACTGTATTTGGAAAAGAGTGGTTAGTTCTCATTTTGTTCCACTGAAGAAGAAGAAAAAAGTCATACAGGTTTGGAACAGCATGAGGTTACGTAAAAGATGACAGACTTTTTATTTTTATGCGAACTAGTCCTTCAAAAGAACATAGTGCTCTTTAAAAGAACCAGCTTTAACTTTCCGTCTTCTTGCAGTCACAGTGGGTTGCTCCCATCATGCACTGTTCAAGAAATCTTGAGCAGAAATGATGAGGAATGTCTTCAAGTGGGAACTCAAGTGGTCAAGCAACAATTTCTGAATTCTTAGTATTTGAAGTCTTGTATGTTACTCGCTGATTGATCAGAAGCTGGAATGAATCCTTAAAATCACTTAGAACTGAGCCGGTGGTCCTTCAGCTCATTTCTGCTGCAAATTATACAGAGAAGGAATAGAATTTATTGAAGCAAATCAGAATCTTTTTTGAGAAGCAGCCGTTCAAGAAATTGCCCACCCCTCTAAGACTCCCTGGATGGTTTGTTTTCTCTCCCTTTAAGGAGTGAAATGTTACTTATGCATGAAGTGTTCCAAATGAAGGAACCTTAGACAAGTGGAAGCAGATGGCAAGAGATGATGGGAGACGAGTCCCTTAAACATACTCTATCTACTGCTTCCTATACTGGAGATATACACACATGCACCTAACTAGCTGAGGCACACTGTGTCCCATAAATGAAATAAAAAAATAATATAGAAATGCATGATGAAATAGAAATAATATATAAGAAATATTTACATAATATGCATGCAAAATTGATTTTTATTTTTTTATGTACTTAAGAGTCTCTTATGCTCACCAAGGTTGCATTTATTTGATCAAACATATAGTAAAAAAGACAATATTGTGAAATATTATAACAGTTTATAATAACTTGTTTTATATTTTAAAACATTTTAAATGTAATTTGTTCCTTTTGAAAGCAAAGCCACATATTCAGCATTCAATACTCAAATCTTTAGTGTCTCATGATCCTTCAGAAATGATTCTGATATGCTGATTTTTAGCTCAGGAAACTTTTCATACTATTATCAGCGTTAAAAACAGTTGTGCTGCATAATATTTTTGTGGAATATTGAGCATCCGTGATGCATTCTTTCAGGATTCTTTGATAACTAGAACTTTGATAAAGTTCAAAAGGACATAATTTATTTGAAATGGACATCCTGTCTATCATTATAAAGTTTTTACTGTCTCTTTTGATGAATTTAATGCATCCTTGCTGAAAAAAGGATTAATTTTAATGTGTATTTAAATGCTTTATGTGTATATATAATACACTCACCAAAGTTTCTAAAAGATAAAATACGTTTATTCCACTAAATAAACTTGAGACAGAAATGCGACTTTTTCAAAATTTTTCTAAATTGTGAAAAACGTTAGCACATTTTTGCAACCATAACAGTTGTTCTGTCTTTTGCAGTGGGAGGAAATCAGTGTGATGGATGAGAGGAACACCCCCATGCGCTCCTACCAGGTGTGTAATGTGATGGAGGCTAATCAGAACAACTGGCTACGCACACGCCACATCCCACGAGATGGAGCGCAGCGCGTCTACATCGAGATTAAGTTCACCCTGCGTGACTGCAACAGTCTGCCTGGAGTCCCTGGCACCTGCAAAGAAACTTTCAATATGTACTACTATGAGTCCAACAACCCCAACCTGTGGTTTATCAAAGAGAGCCAGTACATAAAGATCGACACTATTGCGGCCGATGAGAGCTTCACGCAGACCGACGTGGGTGATCGCGTTATGAAACTAAACACAGAAGTGAGGGACATCAGTAACTTGAGCAAGAAGGGTTTCTACTTGGCTTTCCAAGATGTTGGAGCCTGCATCGCTTTGGTGTCCCTGAGGGTCTTCTATAAGAAGTGTCCTCTTGCCGTTCTGAACTTGGCCCAGTTTCCCGACACGGTGACTGGGGGAGATTCGGCTTTGGTGGAGGTTAGGGGATCTTGTGTGAATGACTCGGAGGAGTTTGAGGCGCCGAGGATGTACTGCAGTGGAGATGGTGGATGGCTGGTGCCCATTGGACGCTGTGTCTGCAAACCAGGCTTTGAGGAAAACAAGGACTACTGTCAGCGTGAGTTTTCTATGCAGCATTTTTTACTCCTGTATTGGCAACTTTTGATATACAGTAGACCTTAAAAGTATAGTTACACTTTAAAATGTAGGGATTCACATGCTATTTTTATTGACTGATATTGATGACTGATATAAATATTTTGGTCGATATTGGATATTTAATTGTGCATGCTCTTTTCCCCTCTTTTTACATTAAGATTACATAATCTAATGCTCACATAAAGTTAATATTTAAAAACACTAATAATAATACTGTTGAATGTGATATCCATTACGCATATCCATATCCATATCCAGTACGCATATCCATTTTTCATACTGTAAATTTTAATGTTGTGATGCTTAAATTCATTTGTAGCATCAAATATTTTACAATTAAAGATTTTTTATTTAGACAAAATAGAATAGATTTTTAATAGCTGCCATTTATCTGTTATCAGCCATAATAAAATTCATTTCAGCTTATTGGAAGGTACTGGGCAGTATTTTAATATCAGTGCATCCCCATTTATATTTTTAAATGTCATTGCATTACATAGAACTATCAAATATCAATATCATTTGCATCTGCATCAGAACTGTTTTTTTTTTCTTCTTTTGCAAATACCTTGAATAAATGTTTTTGAATACCTTATATATACAGTATATATATATATATATATATATATATATATATATATCATCAGGTGCGTTGTTTCTTTAAAATTAATGCTATTTGGATTGATATTTTGTTACATAATGCAATGATATTCATGTGTTTTAACTGTGGCAAAAGTGTCCAAATACTTTTGGGGTCACTATATAACAAAAAACATGTTTTTCTGACTTAACTGGGCAATTTATTGGGTAATATATGACACATTTTGTAGTGATGAAATGTATCCACAGTCAGTTTTTTTTGCAGTTGCGGTCCCTTTGTTTGCTTCTGAAGTAAGCGTGTATGTGTGTGTTTGTGAGTGAATGCAAATAAGTTTGCAATGAAAGTAGCTGAGGGCTTCAGTGACTCATTCAGATTCACTCTGTGCCTCGTTTCCCTGTGTCGGGGAAGGTAGTTGTGCTCCAGGATACAAATTATTGAGACATAGCATTCCAAAGACTATCTGTTCTGTTTACTTGCTCTGCAAATCCATAGGCCTCCAGCAGGCAGACTAACTTTTATTCAAGAGTGTGTGCGTTCATTGGATGAGTTTGTAAAAGTTTACTCCAAAGAAGTCTAAGCCAGCTGTTGAATTTTTTGCATCATTTGAAGCTAGTGTAATAGTACCTCAAACCCCAGATCTTATCGATTCGTTAGGTTGATTCGTATTGAAGCAATAAAGTATAAGATAAAATGCAGCTAAAAAGTGTTGTTTATATTCAACTTTTTAAAATATTTCTACAAAATACATGAAAATTAATAAATTTTATTAAGCAAATCCATTATTTAAAAAATTGTTCTAGAACTATAGTCCCTGACATGTAAGCTAATGTTAAAGGGGGTCATATGATGCGATTTCAAGTTTCCCTTTCTCTTTGGAGTGTTACAAGCTGATTGTGCATAGATACGATCCCTGAAGTTGCAAAGACTAAAGTCTCAAAACCAAAGAGATATTCTTTATCAAAGTTAAGACTCTGCCACACCCCCCTAAAACGGCTCGTTCTAACACGCCCCCACATATCTACCTCACTATGTGGCAATATTAGCATAATGCCACCCAAAATGTTCACGCAAAGAAAGAAGGCGTGGTTTCAGTAACCGCAGTTAGTGTTGAAGCAGCCATGTCAGGGAGACGCTGTGTGTTTCTAGGCGAAAGCAAAGCACTTTATTTGGCCTTCCGAAAGTAGATGCATTTAGGAATTACTAAGGTTACTTCCAACAGAACAGCAATGCATTTTATGGATGACCGTTTCGTGAACCTAGGAGAGGAGGTAATTCTGACTTTGCTATGACAATCTGGCACTTCTGAATCAGCTACTATTTTGTTATTAGTTTAACTATTTGCTATTGACTGTTAAAATGTGAAGTTTTGCGCATTGTGCGTGTGTGTGTGTGTGTGCGCACGCGAGCACGAGCGAGAGAGAGAGAGAGAGAGGGAGAGAGAGAGAGAGCGGTGTGTGTGTGTGTGTGTGTGTGCGTACGCGAGCGAGAGAGAGAGACGAGTGCTTGCGGTGTTCGGCCAATCACAATGCACTGGGTCAGCTGGCCAATCAGAGCAGACTGCGCTTGTCAGAAGGAGGGACTTTGTAGAAAATGAAGCGTTTGAGAGAGGCGGGGCATAGAGGACTTACAATAATGTACAGTATTTGAAAAATAATTTCCACAGTGGGCGTCAGGACGCAAGATTCCATCGTTTCACCATGTGTAGTGTGTCATAGTGGAGGACAACCGATTCCACGTCTGCGATACTTCACGACATCATGACAGAAAGACTAGCATGTTAAAATTTTTTCCCGTCGTCCACGACGAGTTAGTCGAATAGAGTTAGACCAATAGCAGCACAGATGCTCTTTCATACACCGGTTTCAAACATGGCAAAATGAAAGAGAGATGATGGTGCTGCTAGGAGGAATTATGAGATGGAGGAAAGGTTCGTGGAGCTGTGGCAACAGTACTCCTGCCTGTATGATGTGTCATCGAGGGACTACCACGACAGAACAAAGAAAGAAAAATGCTGGCGAACTATAGCGGAAGCACTTCAGCAATGTTTACACTCTTGTTTTCTGAAGTCAGTCGCTAGTTCTGCCTTCTCGATGACATCACACGTGTCGTTAAAGATGGCACGCGATGAATGGTCGGTAAGCAACGTGTAGTCTGACATGTTTCTTGTCCACGACAAGACAAGATTTTAGGAGTCAAAATCGTGTAATCTGACACAGTGACTATTAGTGCTGGGCGATATGACCAAAAATTGATATCACGGTATTTTCCAAAATTATACCGGTTTCAAAGTACATGACGGTATTTTTTTTCATGCATGACCGGGTGTTAACCATATTTTCTACTGATTGAGAGAGGAAATAATGCAGTATATTGACTTAGAATGACCTATTTTGCTGTCATGATGAGTGAATATTGTCAAAAAAATATTGTCAAAAAATCTCTATGCGGTTGTTTTGGCTATATTACTTTTTTGTCTCATGCAGCGCACTGCCTGCGTCTGAGTAACAAACTAAAAAAAACAACAAACAAAAAATTGCATGTGATATTAACAGACAAACTACGCTCATATTTATATTTCCAAACAATCAGTAAGCGACTGGTACTAGGAAACGCTGTTTTGTACTCATTTATTGACGAGTCGGCTGCGGTGCGGCCAACTGAATGCGCTGCTTCTCTGCCGGTCACTGCACAGAACAGACGCCGAGAGAGGTGACACTTCTCCGGGAAAGTCAGACCTCGCGTTCGCGGGACAGCACTGGCGAAATCTTCCAACTGAACCATAGCTAAGGTTTATCCAAAAAAGTCTCTAGGTTTGTCAGTATGAATATTCTATGGAAAAAAGCCACTAAAAGGGTCTGAAAGTTGCTAAATCTAGTGCTAAAGTCGCGCTCTTGTTTGTGTGGGAGACGCAAAAGCTGATGGCAGGGGGCGGTGGATATTTGTGGTGGTCAGTGTGGATATTGTGGATGAGTTCTTCTGTGTCATCACATTCTATTAGTTCTACAGATTCAGTTTCAGAACTTTCACGCTTAGTAACATACAGCTGTTCCCTCACGACAGTGCAACAGTGATAAGGGACCCCTTTCAAACAGTGTCGCGTTCTGAACATTGTTTAAGCGACATACAACGGTATTGCGGTATTTTAAAAATTCATATCATAACAAAAATAAACACCGGTATTCGGTATGAACCGGTATACCGCCCAGCACTAGTGACTATCATGACCGACAGAAATATTGTGTAGTCTGAACCCGGCATAAGAGGTGTTTTGAGTCATAGCTGTTGCTAAAAATTTTTATACTATATGGTTTTGCTGTATTTATTTTAGATGTTTCTTTTTTTATTTGATCTGCTGAGATCTTACTAGCTTCAATTGCTCCTAATTCGTCTTGTGTTGTTCTTTTGCTGCTTTGACTTCTGTGTAGCCAGCAAACACGTCAAAATATAAAAAAAGAACATATCTAGCAACCCACACAGCTCTCGCAGGTTCAAACCTCTTGTTGATTGAAACTCCTACTTAGTTTTATTTATTTGCATGGCATCATTATGCAGTGTACGTTTCTTTGATCAAATCTGAGATCTCGGACGGCTGTGGAAGCGAGGAAAGCATGACAGGCTCCTGTGAGTGTTGTTCTCTTTCTTTGTGCATTTGGCTGTTTCCCATCTAATGGCTGCTGAGTGGCATCATGTTGTTTGCTAATGGGTAGGCTAGAGCGACACAGAGGGACCTGCTGAGGAGCTAATGACAGCACCTTCATGATGAAACGTTAGCAGACTTCACACCACTTGCAAACACATAGCATCTCCATTTTTCTGTGTTAACTACATTTATTTTGTGGCTATAGCTCTTTTGCTATGTATTTTTTAGGTTAGCATGTGCTAATTTCATACTGTCAGTATTTACTTCCTGACAATTTTAGGGTGACCATAATATGTTCTCTTTTTCCCAGACATGTCCTGGCAGGAATTTCTTAATTGCCTAAAATGTCATGATTTTGGCTTTGTTTTCCTATTGTTTTCATTCTTGATAAAGGTAATGACTGAAAAGTAGTTTAAAGGGATAGTTCACCCAAAAAATTAAAATTCTGTCATTAATTACTCACCCTCTTGTCGTTCCAAACCCATAAGATCTTCGTTCATCTTCGGAACACAAATTAAGATATTTTTGATCAAATACAAGTGCTTTCTGATCCTCCATAGATGGCAAGGGAACTACCACGTGAATGGCCCAGAAACGTAGTAAGGATATTGTTAAAACAGTCCATGTGACATTTCTTCTCTTCCGTGTCAGTCTTCGATGCGCATCCGGGTTCTACGTCAGCCGGCTCCTGCGTCAGCAGCATCACATGTAGGACTGG